GGTGTAATTCACTCTTCTCAGCATGGATACATCTCCTTCATAAGGACTTTCCAGAAAACTTCAGTTTGGGCTAATTGTTCCTCCTCTCTATTCTCATAGCACTGAATGTGTCATCACCCAGCAATTATCTGTCTATTAAAATTACATAAATCTATGCCTGCCACTTGCACTAGATTTTAACATCTATGATAAAAGTAAGCATGTCTTCATTCAACAATTCAATAAGTATGTAGCAAGCATACAGTGCTAGGCACTGGGAATACAACATAGAACAGACAGGCAAGGTTCCTATACTCAGATGCATTCAGTCAAATGTCTTACTCTTGGATGGACTCTCAACACTTAACACTGCTTGGCATATTGGGAAGATTAATGAGTGTCTCTATTTGGACCTATTACATTATATCTTATACTTGAAAAATGGTCTCTCTTCATATCACCTCTCACTTTCATCAGAATAAAGCATATGGAATTTGGAGATATTAACTTAGGTTTTCCTGTGTAGATTCTGCAACTTTGCTCCTGATCACAAAAGTCAAAAGCATTCACGCATTTTTTTTTTTCCCCCATGGGAGGACTAAAAGAGTCCAAAGAGAATAAATAAGCAAACTGAGCTTCTAGTTTATTTTAAAATCAACTCTATTTATATATAATTAACATACACCCAATGTATGCATTTGAAGTGTACATTTTTATGAGTTTTGGTTAGTTTATTAACCCATGCAACCATCGTCAAATGAAGATATAGAACATTTTCATCACCCCAGAAAGTTTCCCTACCTTTTTCCCAGCCAACCCCATCAACACCTTCAGCCCCAGACAGTCAACGGCTTGCTTTCCGTCCATTTAAATTAGACTTGTTTTTCCTAGTTTTATATAAATGGAATCATTTGGTATGTACTTTTTTTGATCTGACTACTTTTGCACAGTCTAATGTTTTGAGATTCCATCTATACTATTGCTTGCATCAGCATTTCATTCTTTTTTATTGCTGAGTAGTATTACATTACACAGCTATAGCACGGTTTGTTTATCCATTTATCAGTTGATATTTAGGTTATTTCAATTTGGGGGTAATTATGAATAAAGTTTCCTGAACAGTTCTAAACAAGTCTTTGTCAGATAACTTTTGTTTCGTTTTAAAACTTTTACTGCAATATAACAATGAAGTAAACAGTAATTAGACACCTACTGATTTTTTCCCAAAACAAACAAAAAAATGTAAACAGGAAAATAACTCTGCCTATACTTGTACAGCTTCTCACATCATGTTAGAAGGGTCTCACATTCAATGATGAAGAAATTTTAAAATAGCAGTAATTATTTTCATTTTCAGAAAAGGTTCCCTTTCTCCCCTCTCACCCCAAGTATTTAACATGAAAGAATGGGCTTCCTTACACATTAATTTTATACTTATTTTTGAAGCAGCAACAATTAACTATCAATAACTTGGCATTTCTTTTTACAGCCGCTACAAAATTATTTTAAATTTCACAAAGTCATTATCCAGTGTTGCCATGAAACAGAGACTGTAAATTCTAGGTAGCTAAGATTCTTTCTGAAATGTTAAGTCAAAGAAATATAAAGCAGGGCATTACACTAAGTTTCCGGATCTAGTACACTAAAAAGAGTGAAACCTAGGAAAAGTTACCTACTGTTTTACAGAAGAAATAAAGACCTGCAAAAGCTGATTTTTGGTTGTATAATATTTTACATACTGTGTGGAGTTGCGGCATCTGCTAATTGAAGCAGATATGCACTGTATTTATCCCTGTCCAATATCCTAGATCCCTCCCTCCCCACCCCCAACAGTCTACTACCTTATACCAAGTATTGCAGATATGAGCCCAAGTCATCCCAGACAATCCAGTGAACAAGTTGGGTGTAATGCACTGGTGCGAAGTGTGAGATATAAAAAACTCCCTTTCAATCTTCATCAAAGTTCTGCGGTAGAAGAAAATCGGAAGCCAAATTCTTACTCTTCTCACAAGCAAAATATGCTTGTATCACAAGTCCTTCAGGAATTCCTACCTTTCTATAGCTTCTTTTTCCTGAGGCGTTACTTGAATGTAGTTCATAGGACCATTTCCAGGTTCTGCAATTCCTCCACTGCCACCTCCTCCTCCTCCTCCTCGACCATCAGCTTCTCAAACTGGTTCATTTAACATCTGAATAAAATGCTCCTTGTGTTGGCTAATTTGCTGAAGTAATTGAGGATTCTCTCCACCTATCTACTGTAGTAACGCTGGAAGCAGGGAAGTATTCTGTTGAATAATTTGTCTCATCTGTTGAAACTGAGGCTGATTCCATAAAAATTCAAGGGGATGTTCCAGAACTTGTTGTTGTCGTTGCTGTCGTAGTTGCTGCAACTGCAGCCAGTGTTGAAGATTAAGGAACCCCAGTACTAGCTGCTTGGTGGGGGTCAACCACAACCTGACTTTATCTCCAGGGATTCCCATTACAAGATACTCCACTGCCCTGTCAGGGTTCTTGAAACTGGCTCTCGGGGCTGCAATTACTTGCTCTCATTCATAGCCCATTGGCATGATCTCAGTTACCATATTCTCATAAGGCTGACCTGTCACAAGTGCACTCGTTGCATCTTGGAAAAGGTTTGACCAAGAAGAATCTCACGATGTACAATCAGTTGATGTCGGCCTAGTAGCCACTGGTGTCTCTGCTGGCTTTTCTGCAGGTTTCTTTTGTTTAGTTGCACTAGCAGGTGCAGGTTCAGAAGACACTGTCACTGATACTGGAGTGATAAATGCGGGTGTGAAAGTGGGAGCCAAAGCAGGGACAGGGGTTGGAGCCTGAGCCACAGTTGTTGCTGTGGAGGAAGTAACTGCTGTAGTGCTGGCAGGAGCTGACTGCTGAGTTGTAGCTGGTGCTGGTGTTGACACTGCTTTGGGTTTGGTCACCATAACCATAACCACCACAAAGATTTTCTCATCAATTTTATATTCTTTGAGAGCAGTATCATCATTGAGGATTTCGCCTGCATAAACTAATTTTTGACCTGCTACCGGAGAGGCATCTTTCGCCTTTTCAGATTCTATCTTCTCTTTCAGTGCTTTCACTGTCTCCTCCGGGTCAATGTCTATCTTGAAGGTCTGCGGCTGGAGGGTCTTCAGGGTGACCTGCATGGTGCCACTGCACAGCTCGGCTGCGGGGCCTGCGCTGGGTGCTGGCTGCTGGTGGGGGGGGGGGGGGGGGGGGGGGGGATTGCATTGGGAGTTATACCTGATGTAAATGATGAGTGGGGGGGTGCGGGTCTGTGGCCTCGTTAGATAACTTTTTATTTCTCTTGGAATAATCCTTAGATATGCAAATGATGAGTTGTATAATAAATGTATAGTTATTTTAATAAGAAACTGCCAAAATGTTTCCAATGGGGCTGAGTCATTTTGCATTCCCACCAGGAAAGTGTGAGAATTCTAGTTATTTCACATCTTTACTGACACTTGGTATTATCATTCTTTGTTATTTATGCCAATCTATTTCTTATAGACTTCATGGCAGGCTAGTGTCTGCATAACTAGAGCAGAATTCAGGGACACTTAGGCCTTACAGAATAACAAGAACTGATCTGCAAATGCGTTTGCATAGCAGCTTGATGAGGCCCATATAGTCGAGCCTGGGGCAAAGAAAATAGCCAAGGCTTTCTATACCCAAGAGCTGAAACGGCACAACAAAACCAAAAGGACTGTAGGATTTAGAAGATAAGGATGCACAGGATAAGGATGCAGCCAGAGATCACGGTTGGACTACAAATGTTAGTAGTGAACAGCAGCACAAAAATATGGAGAAGTAGTGATCTGATTAATGACTTGGGGTGTGACAGTATTACAGAGAACAAAAATCTGCCTTCAGACTGATGCCATGTCCTCACAGAACTTAGATATAATCCTAGAGAGCAAAAGAAGAATAAAACTATGCTTTCCTTAAGTTGACAGAGCTTAAATTCTAAATCTACCAAGTTTATGTCCTGAAGTGACTGAATTTACTTAAGAATAGCAATATTAAGCTGTTGCCCAACAAGCAGTTTGTAGGTAAGGATGGAAATTCAAATTGTTTACTAAAAATACATTTGACTTCTGCATATTTGTATTTTCTGTGTGAAAATTCACCCACATCATAACAACATGTTTCCACCTATTCAGATGTCCTTGCTTAAAAAAAACTGTCCATCTTTGAGTTTCATGTGTATTTGGTAGTGATCATGACATATATATTAGAAAAATGTATAATAAAAGAATATTTCTGTAATCCCAGAACTTTGGGAGGCCAAGGCAGGCAGATCCCTTGAGGTCAGGAGTTTGAGACTAGCCTAGCCAACATGGTGAAACCCCATCTCTACTAAAAATATAAAAATTAGCCGAGCCCAGTGGCGTGTGCCTGTAATCCCAGCTACCCGGGAAGCTGAGGCAGGAGAATCACTTAACCCAGGAGGCAGAAGTCGTAGTGAACCAAAATTGCACCATTGCACTCCGGCCTGGGAAAGAGAGGGAGACTCTATTTAAGAAAAAAAAAAAAGATTTCAATTAAGACTCTAAAACAACAACTTGATACAGTTTTTGTTTTCTTTTTTTTAATTATTATACTTTAAGTTCTAGGGTACACGTGCACAATGTGCAGGTTTGTTACATATGTATACATGTGCCATGTTGGTGTGCTGCACCCATTAACTCATCATTTACATCAGGTATATCTCCTAATGCTATCCCTCCCCCGTCCCCTCACCCCATGACAGGCACCAGTGTGTGATGTTCCCCTTCCTGTGTCCAAGTGTTCTCGTTGTCCAATTCCCACCTATGAGTGAGAACATGCAGTGTTTGGTTTTTGTCCTTGCAATAGTTTGCTGAGAATGATGGTTTCCAGTTTCATCCATGTCCCTACAAAGGACATGAACTCATCCTTTTTTATGGCTGCATAGTATTCAATGGTGCATATGTGCCACATTTTCTTAATCCAGTCTATCATTGATGGACATTGGGTTGGTTCCAAGTCTTTGCTATTGTGGATAGTGCTGCAATAAACATATGTGTGCATGTGTCTTTATAGCAGCATGATTTATAATCCCTTGGGTATATACCCAGTAATGGAATGGCTGGGTCAAATGGTATTTCTAGTTATAGATCCTTGAGGAATTGCCACACTGTCTTCCACAATATGGTTGAACTAGTTTACAGTCCCACCAACAGTGTTAAAGTGTTCCTATTTCTCCACATCCTCTCCAGCACCTGTTGTTTCCTGACTTTTTAATGATTGCCATTCTTCTGCCAGTTTTCAAAGGGAATGCTTCCAGATTTTGCCCACTCAGTATGATATTCGCTGTGGGTCTGTCCTAAAGAATTCCTATTATTTTGAGATACGTCCCATCAATACCTAGTTTATTGAGAGTTTTTAGCATGAAGGGCTGTTGAATTTTGTCAAAGGTCTTTTCTGCATCTATTGAGATAATCATATGTAGTTTTTGTCTTTGGTTCTGCTTAAAAACAAAAAAAAATGAAAAAGCAAGCTTTCAATTATGACTCTAAAACAACAACTTGATATAGTTTTTTGTTGTTGTTGTTGTTGTTTTTGTTGTTTGAGACGGAGTCTCGCTCTGTTGCCCAGGCTGGAGTGCAGTTGCGTGATCTCAGCTCACTGCAAGCTCCGCCTCCTGGGTCCATGCCATCCTCCTGCCTCAGCCTCCTGGGAAGCTGGGACTACGGCTGCCCGCCACCTCATCTGGCTAATTTTTTGTATTTTTAGTGGAGATGGGGTTTCACCATGTTAGCCAGGATGGTTTTGATCTCCTAACCTCGTGATCCACCCGTCTCAGCCTCCCAAAGTGCTGGGATTACATGCGTGAGCCACCGTGCCCGGCCAACTTGATATAGTTTTATGGTTTAGAGAGAATTCCTCTGCAGTGGAAATGTTAACGGCTTTTATAAAAGTAATGAACATAAGCCTGACATTGGTACATATATAGTGTAAAAATATACATCATTAAAGACTTCTATTTTAATATCAAGTATTTTTATGAATATATTTAAAATGAGAGATCATAGCTGTGTGTATGTGTGTTTTTGTGTGTGTATACATTATTATATTAATTATAATATATATTATATTTTTTTTCTGGTACTTATTTTCTATAAAGTCTCCATAAATACTGAATTAGTGAATACTAAGCCATTCACTAATTTCCCTGTGGGAAATACAGAGCTGGGTTCCTGTGAACCTTTGGTTACATTTTCATTAAGAAATCAACATATAACTTTGTTTTATGTGTGTTTCTATTTAAGGAAATCCTATTTAATACATAGAGTTGATTCAGTAACATTGAACTCACAGTCAACAGCACTATAACTCATGCCTGATATTCATGTTAGATAAATAAAGCTTATTTAACACGTATAATTATGTCATTTTCTTCATAAGGTACATTACAGACTTCTTCTGCTTGGAAACACTAGATAGCACTTCAGTGCCTCAGCACTATACTTGGGGCCATTTAAAACAGAGAAATCACCAAAAGCACAAAAATGCAAAAATAAAAAGATGTGGCACTAAATACACGATAAAAAGAATGCTTGTTTAGGGAATGAGAACTGAACAAGTAGGCAGGGTTTTTTCCTGTCCAACCTCAGCTGGGATGAGGTTGGGTGCAAGAAACTGCATGTCCTCAAATGGCAGTGAAAGTGTAACAAGTACTGATTTTGGAGTTACAGGTAAATTTTAGTGAGTAGGCAATATGCAATCCAAATATGCAATCCACAAATAAGGCTTGACTGTACATGTGTGTGAGTGTTGTGTGTGTGTAGTGGATAGTGTGCTCCTTGAAGATGCAAATATTGCTGAGATACCTTTACACAAAAATAGTTATCTATGGATACCTTATACTGAACAATCAGTATTTTCTAAATTCGATATTGGTAGATTAAAAGAATTTAACTAAAGGCTGTTTCTCTCCGGAAGTGTGTTAATAACTTATAAATAATCATTTAACCTCAGACTTTCCCTAGACTAGATAAAGTACTTTGCATAGTTGATGTTACCTTTGTGAAACTATTTTCTCTAAAACACGAATACCCCAGAATTCGGAAACCACTCACCTATTGTTATATGTCCTGTTTGCCAGGCTTAGAAAGCTTATTGCTTGGAGTTGGGTCTTTGTGGCCATTCCTTAGGGAACCTCCCAATTTAAGACTATAAGATTCCTTGTTATATCATACTTAGCACCCTGATTTATCCTTTCACTTTCTATTTCTTCCCCAACTCCTTCTGGAAAAAGCCAATACAATACCATCCATATTTTAAATGAACTTATGTAAATTGTTATCAAATATAAAACTCTTTCTATACTTTTTTTAGACGGAGTCTTGCTCTGTTACTCAAGCTGGCGTGCAATGGCGCGATCTCTGCTCACTCAACCTCCGCCTCCTGGATTCAAGCAATTCTCCAGCTAATTTTCATTTTTTTGTTTGTTTGTTTTCTGGGTATTTTTGTTGTTGTTTGTTTGTTTTTTTGAGATGGAGTCTCACTCTGTCACCAGGCTGGAGTGCAGTGGTGCGACCTTGGCTCACTGCAACCTCTGATTCCCTGGTCCAAGCGATTCTCCTGCCTCAGCCTCCCAAGTAGCTGGGATTACAGGCACTCGCCACCATGCCCAACTAATTTTTGTATTTTTAGTAGAGACGGGGTTTCACCATGTTGGCCAGGCTGGTCTTGAACTCCTGAGCTCATGATCTGTCCACCTCAGCCTCCCAAAGTGCTTGGATTACAGGCATGAGCCACTGTGCCCAGGCCTATACTTTTAATATATTTTATTGGCTCAGGGAAGATATGTAATTGGTCATTCATTCACTTGTTTTAAAAAATCATTTAAGAAATGATGATTGCATCACTATTACGTCCTAGACCATGATCATTCTCTGTGTAGGAGTCCATCGTCAACATAAATGCCATCCAGCCAGCCCTCTGCTAGGTCTAATCATCTTGATTTGTATTTCTCCAATCATCTTCAGTTTCTTCGTGTTTCTCTTTTATTATCTTCTTTCTTGTTCTGAAGATCTGCTTTTGGTTCAAAAGCTCAGAACTGAATTCAGCAAACATCTGACCTAGTGCAGATAAAACCAATGACCCACAATATATTACCTTGGTATTAAGACAAAAAAAGTATAAATTTTTCTAATTATAAAGCTAATAAA